GCTTTGGTGCAGAGTCTCAAGGGCGTTCGACCCAGACCTCTCCTGAACCCTGAAAACTGAGACCCGAAATAACCCTACACTCAATAAGATTGGACCCTAAAACCGTAAACCCTAAACCCTAAAACTTTAAACCCTAAACCCTGAACCCTAAAACCTAAACCCTAAACTAAAGCCTAAACCCTAAAACCTAAAACCTTAAACTCTGAAGCCCCTAAACCTTAAACCCCAAACCCTCAACTCTGCCCCTTCGGTTTACATGGCGAGGTCAACATCTCAGAAGTTTATAACCGACTCGCTGCTGAGTTTCCCGCCGCCGGGATGTCACATCCACTTTTTTCCGTTCCCGGGGTCGAGGGTTCAGGGTTTGTGATTTAGGGTTTGGGGTTTAGGGTTTCGGGCTCAAAACCTAAATCGGAGACACGAAGTCGCAGGGAAGCGCCCCAAAAAAGGCTTCAAGCTTCGCCGGTTAACTCGTCCAACTTCTAGAAAACCCAAGTGGTGCAGAGTGCAGGGCTTGGCTGGCTGGCCCGGCTGTTCCTCCCGGTTGCCCCTTATGGAATTTTGAATTCATGGTTTTGGGTTTAGGGTTTTGAACTTTCCCCCAAATTTATCCATGCTGTTGGAGACACCAGTTTGCTCCTTCTAGGTTCGAAAGCTGATTCTGTCTGTTGTTGGAGCTTCAATTTTTTCATTTGGGGCTTGTCAAGGAGTCCTTAGAATAAGGGAGCCTAATATACTACAGCAGGCTCCCATATTCGTGCAACTCACATTTTGCAGGGCTGAGTGGTTTTGATTCGGAACATGGGTTAAGGGTTAAGGGTTTCTGCATGCAGGTTCTGGGGCGGCCATGTTGACTGGTATAGGTCTACCAGCGAGTCTGTAGACCATTTGTCATGGGTGCAGGGCTTAGCATCTAAGGTTTAAGGTTTAGGGTTTAGTGTTTAGGGGGGGATGGGTTTGGGATTCAGGGGCGTGGGCCAGTGGGGTCATGATGCCCCATTGCCGATGAGATGACCCCAAACCTTACCTAACCCCTAAACCCTAACTTCTGTATCCAATACCTTAAACCCCAAATCCTAAGCCCTGAATTCTATATCCGAAACCTTACACCATAAACCGAAATCCTAAACCCCCAAAACCCTAAATCCCAAACCTTAAACCCTCGAGGCCCGAAGCCCGAAGCCCTAAACCCTAAATCCCAAACCTTAAACCCTAAACCCTAAACCCTAAATCCCAAACCTTAAACCCTAAACCTTAAACCCTAAACCCTAAACCCTAAGCTCAAACCTTAAACCCTGGGCCGTTGCCTCGAGGTGAAGCCTTTGCCAAGGAGCCGTGGTGAATGCATCAAGGGTGTAGGGTCAGTGTCTGGCAAGTTTGGGTTTTAGTTTCTTTTTTTTGGGCGGGGGGAAGGTTTAGGGTTTAAGGGATCATGGTATTCAAGAACCACGGTTCATGATATAAATCCTGCATTACCCCATAATAAGGAATAGACCAGAATTCCCATAGTATAGGGTCCTTAAGGTACTGCAGGGTTTATATCATCAACAGTACTGTTAATTATTGTTACTACTATTATTGTTTGTATTGCTGCTGCTACTCTTCTTATTATTGTTATTACTACTATTACTGTTTGTATTGTTGTTCTTCCTCTTATATTGTTGTTAATACTACTATTACTCTTTGTATTGTTGGTTTTCTTCGTCTTATTGTTGCTGTTACTACTATTACTGTCTGTATTGTTGTCATTATTCTTCTTATTGTCACTATTATGACTACTATTCGGGATACACCTTAGGAGGCTCTTTGTACAAGCGAGAGATCCTTGCCAGCCGATTTTTGAGTGCTTGTAGGAGAAAGCCGCAGTGGCAGAGCGTCTCCGCTTTCTTCCAGCGCCCCGCGGCTGGCAGAATCCGGTGGAAAATTGCCCGGGGCGGGGTGTGTTTCCCGACATAGAATGGCGGGGGCTTCAATCCTTCTATGGGCTGTGCAAACTGTTATTGGGATGTTTATGCAGGGCCTTGTAGGGTTTTACCTTTCTTGACCAAGGCGTTTGTGACGTTTTTTGAATTAGATTACGGATCAAGTCAGGGTGTTTTTTTTGGGAAGTGGTAGTTTGGGATTCAGGGCGTAGGGGCCACAGCTACATGTGCCAAGCGTTGCAGACCTACGCTCCAAAGCTTGAGCCCACAGAAAACGAGCTGCTGCTGTTGAGTTAAGGTGCCGCTGGAGAAGCGCTTCTGGAGGTGCAGAGAAGCCGTAGGTCGAGCCTTTATTTCGAAGCCTTCGGTGATGAATTGCGCATCCTGGGGATTCGGAAGCAGTCATTGGTTGCTGTCCATGCACGGCATCGGAGGACAACAGACCATGATACCAATAGCCATAATAATGCAAATAACACTGCTCATGATAACAGTACAAACAATGCTAGTTACTAGTAACAATCATACTAACAATATCATAATTACAATGATAACAGCGATGCGAACAATGACACAGTAGTCACGCAGGTCCTTTTCCCCGATCGCCTCAGGATTTTGGGTTTGGTGTTTAGGGTTTAGGGTGCAAGATGGTGCATCAACTGCATGCTGTGTACTGCTGAAACATCGTCTCCCTTCAACTGCAGAACAACATCAGTCTTCGAGTGTACATGGAGAACTAGACTGCAATGGTAGCGGTCATAAACATGGTAGTGGCTGCATTCGGGGAACAGAAAAGGGGACCATCTTCATCATCACCACCGCCACCACCACCAGTACCACCAGCATTGCTACCGCCGCCGCTACCGCCGCCACCGCCACCACCGCCACCACCACCACCACCACCACCACCACCACAATTACCTGTCATCCACCATCAGCATCACCGTCACGGACATCACCATCACCTTCACCTGCTCCACCATCTTCCTACCATCACAACACTACTACCAAGCACATCAGAACTAGAACTGCTAGGACTTGGACTCAAAATGCTAGCTTTCCTTACGACGTATTCGCCACAAGGCCGGGAGACCGGGATCCTTCAACCTTTCAAGCTGGTCCTACGGTTGATGATCTAAATCCTGCATTACCCATAGTAATAAAGAATATACCATAGTTCCCATAGTTTAATTAGGTTCCTTAAAGTCATGTAGGGCAATGTAGGGTTTATATATCACAATCAGGAATATACCGTAATTCACATAGTTTAGGGTCCTTAAGGTCATGCGGGGTTTTTTCTCATCAGCAGTACTGTGCAGATTCTACTAGCTCGGCTCCCCGGTGCTACCCTGTTTGCCCTTTTCTTTCTGGGTTCCCTTACTGAGACCAAACAGCGGGAAAAAGGGTACCCTTGTTATTCAGATTCTTCTTCTTTTCTTGGAGCTACTGGGGGCCCAAAACCCGAAACCCTCAACCTCACTTCGCTTAGGGTTTCGGGTTTAGGGTTTAGGGTTTAGGGGTTTAGGGGTTTAGGGTTTGAAGCCGAAGTAGTCCAGGACCCGGGAACGCCCACTCGCGAAAGACCGCACAGTAGATCGCGGGCAGCGCGGCTGGAAAGGGTGCTGCTCCAATGTCCGTGTTTCGAGCTTATGGCCTTTTGGTTTCAGACCTCGTCCAGCAGTTTTAGATTCCGAGCTTTTCGGGGTGAGTTGGGGTTTAGAGGCATCGAGCGGACCGCTATGACAGCCATAGACCCAGAAACATGCTACCCCACACCACAAACCTAAACACTAGCCCAAAACCCAGCTTTTGAGAGTCAGCACTTTCATCGTCGGGCCAAGTCTTAACGGCTCGGAAGCACGATAAAGTCTAAAGTCCCATCGTTTGGGGCTATGAAATCCTTCATGGGGTCCATGTAAAGGGGGGGTAGGGCTTAGGGTTTTAGTTTTCAGGCTTAGGGGTTTGGGTTTCAGGTTTTGGGCTTACGGCTTTGAAGGGCGTTTCTTGCGATGCAAATCTGCAGGGGTTCCATTGGGACTGTCAAGGCTTTGCAGGACGGAGTTCGGTGATGTGCGACGTTCGCAGGTCCGGACTCCCGACCCTGTAAGCCCTAAGCCCTAGAAACACGTGCCAGACCTCAGCACGTGCTAAAAGGAGCAGAAGCCCAGGCCGGACAGCGTCCGGTGATGTTCGATGTAAGCTTGCGAAGACCAAGACCAAGAGTCTAGAACATCTAGCGAGGAGGACAAGGACCTGCAGCAGAAAACTAACCCAAGTCTTCTGAGTCCTCACTCAAAAACCCTAAACCCAACACCCAAATCCTAAACCCTAAACCCTGGACCGAGAAAACTCTGGTATCACTGCCTTCCTGTTGAGACCTCACGCGCGACGGTCCTGCTGAAGTCGGCCAGCTTCTGCCGAGTGGTTAGCCAGAGCCCTGGTCTCCTCAGCACGAGTTTAGGGTTGAGGGTTTAGGGTTTACTCACTAAGGTTGCGAATGATGACTTGAACCTGAGCACAGGAGCGTCCCCTTATCATCATTGCTGTTGATCATACCAACAGTAGTGACAATAGTCAGAATTCAAATAATCTCCGCAACAATACTGATTAGACTAGGGTTGTTGGGTGCCCAGTACGTACAGTACACTAAGATGGCGTATCAGGGGACTGTGACGGCCGACAAGAAGGAAGCAGCACGACCCGCACGTAAGGCACAGGAGAAGAGGAAGAGTAGGCGAAGGAGAAGCACCACGGCAAGCAGCAACAGCTGCAACTTTCACATCCATGTTCTATGGGTAGGACAGAAGCACCGCGGCAAGTGAAGACAGAACTGGAAATCATAGCCTCACACCCAGAATAAGATTGGCACTCTATCGCGCAACACAAAGTAACGAGGACCTTCTTCTGAGTGGGGTCATACAGGGGTCGGAGCAACCAAGATTCAAAGCCCAGATGCCCACGGATTTGAGATGACCGCATGCAGCCATGCGTGGCTCATCGCTGCATCCAGCAGCGCTATCATGCCTTGCAGCCAAGCATTAGGTTTCGCAGCCTCTGCTGCTGTGCTGCGGAGGGCCGATGTCCCAGGACAAGCTGATTCCGACTCAAGGGGATGGCATCACAGCTGCAACAAAGACGCAAGGAGATGTTGCAGGAAAGACGTTCAAAGTCAGGGTGAATCTGTTTCGGATGAACTGGACGGCTAGCATCCACCAGTATGGATATGAACTGCCAGAAACTTGGATCCATTCTGAGCGGAAGCTGATTGAGATGGGCTGGGCCGACTTGAAGAAAAACCTGTCTCATTTTGTGGTTTTGCTACCTGGCCGCATCTTCTCCCCCATCAAAGTGGACAAGTTCCCGATGAAGGTCAGCGACGCGTCTGGGGGGGAGGTAGATGTTTGCCATGTGGCCGAGATCAGCGCGCAGAAGATTCAAGATGGTCTGATGGGGCCGGCTTCTATGGTGGGGCAGCACCTTGCTGACCAGCTAGCCGGGCAACGGCGGATACAAAGGGTCGGCAAGCGATTTTACAAGAACGACTGCCAGCAAGTCGAGGGACGACATCGTGTCATCAGTGGGTATTCTGTGAACCTTGCCAAGCTGGGCAGTGCTGGGCCATTACTGCAACTTGATGTCCTGCACAAGCCAGCCAATACCAGGAGTATCGTAGAAGTCCTGAGAGGTTCCATGGAAGGCACAGATGTTTTCCAGGCGCTTCCAGAGATCCGAGCAGAATGGCTTCGACTCTGCGTTTCCGCGACGGTGGTGACGAACTACAACTTCCGCGTCTACAGGATAAAGCAAGTGCATTTCGACATGAATCCGTCTCAAACCTTCCAGTATCATGAACGAGGGGGAGGTGCAAAGGAATATACCTATGCAGATTACCTCCTCCAGTACTACCAGAAATCTGTAACCTTCAACAAGCAGCCAATTCTGGAAGCGTATCCAGAGAAGGCCAAGGAGAAAGTGTTTCTGCTGCCAGAGTTTTGCTGTTTGGTGGGTGTTACAGACGAGATGCGGAAGGAGAAGAGTTCCCTCAGTGAAGCTCTAAAGCAAATCAAAGCGTCTCCCATGGAGAGGCACAATGAGATCGTGCGTGACGCCGAGGAGATGGAGAAGCAGCTTCCTGAAACCCTCAATGCGTGGGGTTGTCATTTGGGACAGCCCATAGAGACTCTCGAGGTCGAAGCAAAGCAACTAGAGCCTTTGCAAGTATGCTTCAAGACGAAGCAGATGTCTGCTATTGAGGAGGGTAGCTTTTCCAAATCCCTGCGAACCGGCGTGCAGTGTGCTGTTATGATCGATCAGTGGCTATTGTTCTATCCGGAGGCAGATGAGAAAGTCGTGGACACTTGGCTAGCGTCACTGCGGGATGTTGCACGGGACCCTTGTTGGCAACACAAGTTCTTCTTTTTTTTCTGAGCTAGTTCCCTAAACCCTAAACCCTAAATCCTAAACCCTAAACCTTAACCGTAGTTATATAGCTGCCAGAAGATTGTCAGCTAGTGTAACGAAGCCAGACCATAAGTCCTCATGGCCTTGATTCCTGGGGCAGACCCCTTATAGGGGACCTCTAGCCTCCCAAGGGCTTAGGGGGCTTAGGGTTTAGGGGTTTAGGGGTTTCGGGTTTAGGAGTTTAGGGGTTTAGGGGTTTAGGGTTTAGGGTTTAGGGTTTAGGGAGACCCCTTGAAGGGGACCCTTCTTCACCCCGACTTCTGGCTCGCTTCAAAAGGGATTTTTATTGAGAGGCTCTATATCCCCAAAAGGGGTCCCCCTAATCCCAACTCCCCTAAACCCTAAACCCTAAACCCTAAACCCTAAACCCTAAACCCTAAACCCTAAACCCTAAACCCTAAACCCTGAACCCAGCTCCGATTGATCCGTGGCTTTGGCTAAGTTGGCCTTCGGCTGCACGCTGAGTCAGCCCGGAAAGGCCCGCGGCTCAGTAGGGGGTTTAGGGTTTAGGGGGGTTTTGGGGTTTTTTTTTGGGGTTTTGGGGGTTTTGGAGGTTTAGGGTCTAGGGTCTA